GACTCACGTAAGTCAAAATTTGCCGAATTTTTAAATTTATCATTAATGCATAAAAAAGTTAATGTACTTTTAGTGTATGTAAGTATAAACGGTTTTTAATAGTTGCGTAATGCTCAAATTCATCAAAATGTTTGTATTGCATTTCCGAAAATTACGTGTGCACTTAATGCAAGACTGCCGTATCTCAAAAATAAGTGAAATGCAAGTAAGCTATGAAGCTATGAGGTTTCAGTCGATGTTGATAATCTGATACTCCTACTAATTTAGGTACAAATTGAACACAACAAATGCACAATGTCTTCTGATATAGTTAAGAATTGACCGAAAACATGGAAATCAATTTTTGTTTGAATAGGAAAGGTAGGAAAGTTAATTAGAGTGAAGTAAATTAAAATTTGTCAAAAATTTCGATGGAATTTTGTAACTTCGTATAGAAAGGAAGTATATCAGGAAACAATAGTCAATCAATTCCCGAACATTACGACAACGCTGACATCAGGCTAAAATGAAAATGATTAAACAATATTTGGTCCTTTAGCAATACGTAAAAAAATTCGATGTACTGAATCAATTATGTATAAAAAAACGAATTAAATAAAATTATAACACATTTTATAACAATTTAGCCATAGTAGATGTTGAATGAAATAATACTGTGATCGTTTTGTGTTTTGTTATATTTTTTTCATTACAATGTGTTGCTAGTTTGCTCTTGTCTTAAATTTATTAACACGCAAGCCAAAATATTTGATATGGTGTACCAGAACAATAGTCACGTAAGTCAAAATTTCTTGTTTTCTATAAAGAGTAGAAGGTTTTACTCTAAAGGAATAAAAACACGATTAATAATAGATTGACAATACGACTATAATGTATTTCGAAGCCTTTGGTATTTAAGACACAAATAATATATAAAAACTTGGGAATTTTAAATCATTATTACTCAAAACATGCTGTTTTTTGAGTTACGTGAGTATTGCTCTCACAGTGCGATGTATGTATTAATTGGTACTAAGATTAAAAATGTGGATCAAATCAAATCCAAATCTGGACGTAATACTAAATCAGAATCCGAACTGATACCTTACATTAGGCTACTTGAATGTTTTATATGTATATTATTTATATTATTTTTGGAAATACCATATTTATTAGATCTAAATTAAAAGCACTGCGCTTCTGTGTGGTATCCTTATGATATTTATATCTTATTGGTAAAATCGATAGGAAATTCTGTAATCATCGTTTTTATGGTGATTACGGAGAATATCTTGTAAGATGTCCAAATGAAGCTTTACTACTGTTTGAATTTAGTATTACCTCACTAAAAAACTGAAAAATCTAAAAATAACAACTAACTTTAATTGACTTTTTTTTTAAATAACATATATTTTCTAGATTGGTATCACTTTACACTTTGTGCACTTTTTAACATTCATAGTTATTGTAAGGAGCCCTTTCCATGCACCAATTTGGACACCGTCATCTGTTGGGTAAAAAATTACTATTATTATCATTAAAAACCAAATGTGTTCGTTCATAGGTTCAGCCCTTTTCTGTACTTATCATAGCCTTGTAGCCTTACGGCAAAATCGACAAACAATTACGCAGGTTAAGTATTGATAGCATTATAAAAAAAAGTTTACAATCTTTTGCTTTGTCTTGTAGCATAAAATTTCCCTATACATCTAGTAATTTTTACAAATGCTGATGGCAACTCTATCAAGTCAAAACAGAACTTTACGCAAGCGCCAAGAAAATTCAAAATTTAAATATGTCTCGTAAAAAAATTGTTCTCGTATCAACGTCTGTAATAAGTAACTTAACCTAACTTCGTTTTCCACTAAAAATTCGTCGTCTTGTTGCCACTTATACGTATTGCTGAGAGAAATTGCGACGTTGGTGGACTTTTAATTAAAAAACGTACTATGTACTTTAATATAAATAAATACAGATTAACAAGTCTTACTACTACTATCATAAAATCACAAATAAAATATTAGTATATTTCAATACTCCCTCTAAATGAATTATTCATCCAATCCGTACGTAGTTGTTTTGTCAATTCATTAAATTGTATATATTTGCAACTTAATTTCTGCTGCTTATACAATCAAAACTTTTAATAAAATCTGTATTTTTGTTTGGCACCTCCCATAAAAATATGACTCTATCCGTTGATTTTCAACACATTGTTCGGCAATCTGACAAAATTTTGTCTTCTTTGGTTTTTTCCAAAAGCCATTATGTTTAACATAACTAGCTTATACTTATATAATTTCTGTTTCGAAGTGTTTTCTTGAAGCAGACTTCGTACATTTTCCCGCAGTTTGTTTCATTTTTACTTTCGGAGCATATGCTAAGGAAGTATTATTATATACGGTACTTTCGTGTTTTTCAACGTTACATGACCTTTAGAATACGAAAAAATAGGTATCCAGTTTCGGCCTGTCTCGGTTTTTATTAAAAAGATAACTTCCGGAATTACTGGACCGATTGTTGTCAAATTTTATATAAAGTTAGGACTATCGTGTCGATGGTAAAACGTTAATCAACATTTGTCGAAACATCGCTACCATTTTACATTAGAATTACATTGTAAACGTCATTTAAATTTTATAAAATATATACGAGCCCCGTCGAACTTCAATTGGTCCACACGTTAAAAATCTGATCCGTTGGACGATACAATTTAAATGAATAAGTAAATGTACATTATTGTTTTTTTTAATATTCTAATAATATGGGGTCGTCTAATACTAAATAGCATCAGGAATTTTAGGAGTTTAATTAAAAATAGCATTACACGGAATTTTGGAAACACGTTGATCTGAAAGTTACTATTGTGTGACACCTCTTTTATTTTTGATAACAGCATTCATTCTATATGACATCGTGTTTACCAACTTCAGGAAATTTTCTGGTGGGAATTTTCCAAATTCTTGGCAGTTTTTCTTTTAGTGCTAGTATTGTTTTTTGCTGGGTTTGCACGAAGTCGTTTTTTCATTTGATTCCATAGTGTTTCTACGGGAGACAAGTCACCTGGACACCCATTTTAGTACAGGAATGTTGTTTTCTGTAAAGCATCATGAAGCTCTTTTACACGCATAGCAGGATGCACCCTCCTGTTGGAAAATAATTTCTGTTCCAGATCCTGAAGCATCACTGTAGGTAATAAACTTTCTTCTGACTAAGATGTTTAAATATTTTCCTGCATTAACTGTGCCCCCCATAAAATGCAGTTTTTCAATACTTGTTACAAACATCGACCGCCACATAACAAATCTTGTATATTTAACTTTTTCTTTGAAACAATCTGGGTGATAAATGTTTCATTTTTCAGTCGAATTATTCGATCTCTGCTATTGCCACAGAAACTTCAAACCAGGACTCATCAGTCATCACTCCACTGTATGCAGCTCGCAATTCAAAATGTTTGTCCTTGTTTTTTTGTCAGAGTGGCATTTCTTTGGCCTAAGATTTTACTGACTTAACTACTGAAATTTATTTACTTTTTACGTTCCAAGTCCTAATCTATGACCTTCCCGATGGCCTGTGGATTTTCAAACATCTTTTCAAATTATTTCGTCCCACAGTAAGCTCAACTGTCTATAGTTGGAACGTATATATATTTTGACGAATAATTCGTTTTAATGTCTTCCTATTCATAACCGACTCTTTACTTTTATTTACATATCGAAATTTTGGCGAGGTGGAATCGCTGGTTTGGTATAGACAAATAATATTTCTGACATTATAACATAATAAACGGCAAATTTTTCCAATTGGAATGCCCTTCTTTGCACAAATTAATTATTACATTTTGAACTACTTCATTCATTAATTGCTGTTCCACGCACCACTGTTAACCACAAAACGGATTATTCCAGACTATTAATCATACTCAGTAACATTTATTTTGACATAATGCTGAACAATTACCTCGATAAATAACAAAGAATACCAAGTTTTATGTATATCAACGTGGTTGGTGCAGTGCAATACTAATTTTTGACAGTATTGTATTCCCAAATTTTCGGGAAAATGATTTAATCAATAAAATATTTTTGACTCTTTAATTAATTTTTGAGACAGGTTGTATAAACAAATCTAAAAAATACGAATATTAGATAGGATTTATTCGGCAAAATTTTGAGGGGGATATGCAAAAAAAAATACCATGTTTATGATAAGTTTATAACATCAACAAGATCTCAAAATTAAATTGTAAAATGTTAAATTATATAAGTTAGCGTTAATTATTACAAACATAAATATGACAACTCCAATGACAAAATATACTTAGAAAGGTGCACAATCAACTAGAGCATTTATTAGAGTAGTAAAATGTTTTAACCCCCGTTGGTCATTATTATTTTATAATTATTATAACACATAAATGTACTTTCGCAAATTCGTCATTTAATTTTAATTTACGCAATAGCATATTTCCTTAATAAATAGGTACGTACTTATTTTGTAAAACAGATGCCGAAATCGATAAAAAAATTTAAGTTGTGTTTAAAAGATCCGCTACGGAAAAATTACGTTAATAATCATATTAAAAGAACAGGCTTCGACTATCTAAACTTACTTTACGTTAATAGACTGTATGTAAATTTTAGAAAAAAGTATTAAAAATCATTTATAAGTTATCAAAATGTATAAAAGATTACTAAGAAACAAAACTTTAATGAGGATCAATGGGTATTATTGACAAACCCAAAAAATAATATATTATTTCCTGCCTTATCTTTGAAAATAAAAACGACACAAATTAAAGAAATCTCGTTTAAAAAAACTAGAAAATCGTATTTTACAAAGGAGTTTCTTCAAAAGGGAACCCACTGGTTTCCGGTCGTTTTAAATTCAACAGTAACATCTAATCCAACAACAGACAAACGCTTCACAGCAAACGTCATGTAAATAAATAATGAAATAAAACCATGAGATTTAGGATGCTATTTCTTACAGTAGATTACCATACAATGATACGAAATAAATTTGCATGCGTCCATTGCTATAAAAGGATGTGACCATATTTAAAGCTGATAAAGTTTACCAATAATGACGTCGAGATGTGTCATAGTGTTCAGTGATTAATATGTTAGACACGATTTATGAAAATAATCGCTAAAAAGGTAACAGTTTATAAATATTTACGCCCAAATACTCAATATCCTTTCCGTCTGCATGTCTACAAAACGTTTTAGACTTACGTTAAAAATTGTTTAATTAGTGCCTAGGACTGGTCATTATTTCCAATTAATTGTATTAAATTATTTGTTTATTATTATACAATTAAAATAAATTTAAAACACATATGACATTTACCTGTGTGAGCCTTATTAGTTAATGCACATTACATCTGCACTGAACCACATCCAACGTTTCAGTAATAATAACTAATATTTTATTATATTAGTTACTAATATCGGTTAATCGTAATCGTGGAAACCACCCATGTCTACCAAGCACCAACTGTATCACTTCACCGCTCACTCACTTACCGCGTACTTTGAGTATGTTATGCTACTGAAACCTCGTAAAACTGATCCAAAAAGCAGACCGTCGAAGAGTAGGGAGCGCTTATTTACTAAAACAATTTACACAATGTGTTGAAAAACTTAACCTATCCCACTTCTTTTTATGGCTTCGTACTTGAGAAATTGGTGTTGATTTGTTGTGACTCTGCGTCCGAGTTCAAACTTAATTTCTTCAAAAGTATGTATCACATTGAAACACTCGGTAATATTCGTATCATGATCATGTACGTTAAACACAATTTTTTTAACTGTTCTTTTAAAATCGACACAAGATCCAGTAGTTACGGTTGCACTAAATTTTTAGTTACCCTTTCGATGTAATCTACCAATACCCCTATTCTAAAAAACAAACGGAGGTCTGTTCAAATCAACCGCGCCTTTTGAACTTATTGCTGTAAGTGATCCTTTTTGACCAATTTTTATGCAAGACGTGGCGAAACGTAGGTAAAAACTACTTACTTCGCATTACTGGAATGTCATTTGAAACTATAAGAGGGAGTCTGTGGAATGCGTTTCTTTACTATTTTTAATTTCGTTGGAAGTGCAACCCTCGACAAGGATTATTCTTCTCAGAACTAAATAAAGATACTACGAACCTTGTAACGGAAAATTTTACAGGGTTTTTCAACGTAATTATTACAAATACGTTGCACCAATTATAAAACCTGCTTACAACAAATGAAATAATAGACTTTACTCCACATATCAGCAGTCATGACTTTAATTAGTAACATAAACTAAAAAAAAAATCCAAGTGCTAGAGAATCACGATAAATTTGGACTATTAGACAAACTATAACAAAAAAATATTAAATAAAGTGGTTGTTGCACAGTAAATGATCATTTCCTTTATGCTTAATTAATATTAAACCAATAAAACTTGTTGTTTATAGCGTTTAGCATTCTGTTTTAAATCCATTTATATTATTTGGGATCTACTTTGTAAGGTGCACGCAGATAGAATTAAAACAGTGGAATATAAGTTTACAAAACTTATTCTTCCTTACTGTATAAAAATTTATATGCACTTATGCAAACGTTATTTTAGTCTATGAGATTAGATTACTTCTACAATACACTTATTTCAAAGTTAAACAACAAATTACGCATACCTACACAGGTCATTTTTTAATATCTCATTCATTATTACTTTATGTTCGTCAAACTCTAAAAATGTAGCAAGCTACGTATTGTTATGAAGTCTTAATACACATCGATAATTAACTTGATTTTTATACATTTTATACACAAAAGAGATATAGCAGTTACAAACAGTGCTGTGATTCAACACCCAAAAACGACGGTGTGGTTCCAGGTGTACAATCGATTACGAAATGTATACTGGTACAAGTCGTATAAAGGCTTTTGACAAAAATCTAAACATTTCGGCAGTTTTTAAAATTGATTCAAAAAATAATTTCAGTTCAAAAGTTCATACATTGAGGATTTCATTTCTAATAAATACTCTTCCACAAACTTTTGTTTACTCTTTAAATCACGAGGGTAATATGGTAACTTTGAAGAATCTAGGAGTATCTGGCTCTTAGCGATTTTATTACACTAATCTCCCAAACTACCACTTTAATATTGTGTAATTGTGTATATGGTAAAACGCTAGCTAAAATTTGTCAGTACCCCACATCAAAAAATTTATGACGTCATCTCAATTTTGCTAAGTAAATCTCGTTTGAAATTTATAACATGGCTGCCGCTTTAATTATAGTTTAAAATATGTCGATATTTTTAAACTTACGCAAACGGATTAGGTCGTGTTATTATCAAAAAATTGGTGGATGGCAGCGTGTCAAAATTATTCAATAAATGTTATATTGATATGATTTGAAGTTACCCCTTACTGGTATTGTAGTAATGTGGTTTTAGGCGTTTATGTATAGGGAATGTCCAAAAAATAATTATTCAAATGTGTACTCAGTTTTCTCGAAAATACTCCTTTTTTATGATTTCAGTAATAACCTATTTGATTTCCGCGAAATTTGTAGAACCGAGTAAAGTAATGTTTGCATTACATATAACAAGTAGATAGAATATTGTCCTCACGTAAAAATAATAAATACATGTTTATAGTAAATACATTTTTATACAAGAATACTCCTCAAAAGTACGAAGAAAGTTCTCTCTAAATAACTTCAGGCGATTTTTTTGTAGAAATTGATATACGTAGGTATAATTTTAATTAATCTCTATTTATTAACACAACTTCATTTGTCTTAATAAGTACTTTAATAGAAACGTTCATTTTATTCGATTTTCAACAGTGATAGACAGGACGGAAACAGGAAACCTGAATTTTATTGCACATACAGTGAAACACAACTGGAAATGAAACATTCTTGGATTAACTTGACTAATAATACGTATTGTCAAATCATCTAACGTTTTTTTTAGTAATCCTGCCGAAGCAATTACAAAAGATAAAATAATATTACTAAACCGCAGCCACATATCGCACCGCTGGGTAAATTTTTTAATGAGTACACAATTACGTAAACGGAAGTTTATATGAATAACAATTTATCATGATAAAAATGTTTATTTTAAAGATATTTTCAATTACCTCTAAATGACAAATCCGAATAATTTATCCTAATATTTTCCGACAATAACAGTTTTTTATTCAGCTGGTTAATTAAGATTTTGAAAGACGTATCATAATAATTCCTACATGTAGTTTTGCAAGTTGATTATTTATGAAAAAGTGTACAGATTGGTGAACATTTAATTAATTAATAAATCTAAATCTAAATGAGAAGATTCTCCCAAATATATCTCACTCATAGACGACGAGGTTAAGACATGAAAATGTAGGTATTTTATTTATACATATTCATGGCAATATTAATAGCTTTTTTCACAAAAAGTGTGCAGTGTAGTTCGGATGATGTCCTTTGTCAATTTTGCTGCATATGCACTATACTGCATATAGTTAGTGTTGTGTTTTTTACGAAAATAAACTACTCAAATTGATATACGTGCCCTTGCTAAAATGTTGATGGTCATCACAAAATTAGGTTATGCAAAGAACTCACTTGAAACTACGCATAGCATACGTCTTTATTTATACTTTAACAGTCCGCACATACTATATATTCATTAACTTATATGGGTTATCACAACAAAAAAATAAAATTCGCAAAATTAAATTTTATAATTTTAAATTGTGATTACTGATTTATTATGATTTGCACATCAAAATTACTTTTTTTCATTTTAAATAATATGTATTTCCTGTAAAAGATTTGTGTTTTCCTTGGTTATATTTTAATTATTTTTTTGTGTATGTATTCGTGTATTCACTAATTAAAAAAATATACAGTGCATCTTTTTTTAAACGTGGTCATACGGATTCCCATGTTAAATTTTAGACTTCATGTTAACTTGTGTTAGGGTGAAAACTTAGAGATGATTTTTACGGTGGAAATAGCCTTAGGGTTCATCATTTTCTTTACGACTTTTTGGAGTAAATTGCTATTTTGTGCTTTAAAAAATAAACATTATTCTGGTTAATAAGTTTAGGTACATCTAGTGTACCGGTACATCATAGAAGATTCTGACTTATCATTTTGACTTGTCATTTTTGACAGCATAATTTTAATTTAATCATCAAACTGTTATTGCAGTTTTTAGAAAAGAAACGGAATGATAGAATTCAAACATAAGTGAAGAAAATAAAAGATAATTTAACTGAAATTGCGTTTTTGATGTCCAGGATTGGTGTCCACGACCGAAACAACCTGTGTTTATAAATGTGTCATAAAATGTTTGAATTCTGCCCTTGCCGGGTATGGGACGATGTGAGAATGCTGCAGCAAAATTTTGTGTAACCTTTCTTGTCGATAAGCATTTAATGTATCCAGTAACCATCCGGTCAGTAAAAACTAGTTGCTATAATAGTAATCGAACAAGTACCTAATCAAATTTTAGAAACGTCAGGTAAATAACTATTTTTACATGGCTGCCTGCAATATCACCGGCAAAAATACCCAAATAATTGTTTTTTTTTTTATGAAGTATCGTTTAATTTAAAGTATAACCTTTAATAAAATCGATAAAATATGACCCAAATTACATCCAGTAAAAATTTCAACTCTAACTCTTTACTCAAACATAATTGAACATGGGAAATAAAATTTAACATGGGAATTCCTATGGTCACATTTAAAAAAGACGCACTGTATATATCTGCTGTCGCGTCATGGAACATTAATGCATGAGTTGGCCACGGTTTCTTTTGTAGAACCATGGCCGACTAGTATAAAGATTATGGCCTGTCCGAAGGAATGTCAAAGGTACATTACGTGCTGCCATCTATTAATAATTCAAAAACGACAAAAGAATTATTAACACCTTTTGAAAGGCACAAAGGCATTCATACCGAAACAAACCACCATTACACGTTTTGAAGTCCCATAATGTCAAGTCAAATTAAAATTTTGCTAAATTATTAAGTGTAATTATTAATAGATGGCAACACGTATCGTACCTCTTGGACAGGCCATAATCTTTATACTAGTCGGCCATGGTAGAACTAATGCAACACACTAATGTCACAAACATTTAACATAATAGCCTTGAAAACAAAATTTTGACATGTGTAAGTTATCAAATGTGTTTTGGAGTAGGTAAATGTAATTTGTAAATTAAAAAAAGGATATCAGTGTCCACAATAGTGTGCAAAAATTACAAAAATCAAAGAAACGGTAAGTTTCATTAACGTGCTAAATATAAACAAAAAAAAACTGTTTGGTCGGTTCAACATGCGATTAGGCAAATGCATCAAATTAATTAAAATATATTCAGAAAAAAAGAATATGTTTATTGTGTTATGTCTGTTTATTCAAATCGTCATGCGCTAACTGTAGTCCTAATAATCTTGTTTGATAAGATTTGAAATTGTCAGTGTCAAAAATCTTCGAAATTTTCGGTAATATAATTTTTATTAAACTGCGACCTCCAAAAATGTTATCATATTCAGTTAATTACCTGTATGTAATTATCTCAATACATAATTTAAACCAACTGTTACATTTTATTTAAAATAAATAAGGTTCTAAATTATTATTCCCCTTTTTGTCAACTGATTGTTATTCTGACAACTTAGAATCTTACCGAATAAAGTTTTGATATTGAAACATCCTTGCAATGAAATTAAAGCAGTTGTGTACAATTTTATTGCTAGCATGTGTTTATTAACTTTGGGTGTTAGTAGTATCATTTCTATTTTTTAACCTACGCCCACGCCACTTGTTACCCAACAATAAATCAATTTAAAAACTAGTTATTAGATTTCAGTTATGGGTGACATAGAGGCACAAGTTTCTGAAAATATCAGTGAACCAAATACTGCTTGTAACATTCCGAAATCATCAATAGACGTTCTGAAGGAATCCAAACCAAGTGAGAACATCGCAATTAGTGAGCCGCAGGACAAACTTCACGACTCGTCAACAACAGATACCGCCGTAGCGCCATCGACTATTAACGAAACAATGCAAACCGCTATATTAAAAACCGCTTGTGAATCAGAAAGTGAAAAAATTAATAATAATTTAGTTGATGAACTCAAAAATAACAAAACTGCCACTGATGATTTAAAAAGCACCACTGACTCATGTAAACAAAATGAAAAAGTGTCTTTGAAAAACAGAAGTGATATTTTCTCTTTAAACGAAAATAAAAATCTAGCACCCACAATATTTTCCGTTGGAGGAGCGCCATCTAAAACTATACATTCGTCATTTAATAGTTATTCAAATAGAACATCTTCAAATGATACGATTGGATCGATCTCCAAACAAACCCAATTCAGGAATCCCCTAACAGGCATCGGAGTTAGTTCCAACGATGAATTTAAAAATAAACCGACGAAACGACGAGGTATGTACTTATTACGATACAATAATATTAACGGATATGCCGCCGACTAGTAAACTGGTTGTGAAACTTGGTCGCAAACAATATACAAAACTCATTTGACATACACCTTGTAAAGTTTTTATGACTTTAGCGGCTTAAGCCAAATCACCCTTATAATGGACCCGAACCGCAAGTTCACAGTATTATTACTGTCCATTGTTGCCATAATGGAGCTGTAAAGTTTTACTAGGTAGGAATATGTGAACTGAGTAAAGTTATACAATAGCCAGTTTGACTTATAAGGGTGCTTTGGCTTAAGCGGCTTAAGTCATAAAAGTTTTACACGGTGTACGTCAAGTGAGTTTTGTATACTATCCACTAAGGGAGAGAGAGAAAGGCCCCGACAAGAATAGAAAAAGCAGCATTTTTAATCGAAGGCCATTTAGTAGTAGTAACTTGTGCAATTATAATTCGTTATAAATACACAAATATTGCAAAATAGCCAGAAAACATTTTTTACCGTCCTGTATCATAAACAATGTTTTTACGCATTTTGTATATTCTTGTTAACTACAGTGGTTTTTCATATGTCAGTTATTTTCACACTGTCAGAGGGTTACAGTGCAGAAAAGAACTGAAAAAACACTGTATTCTAAGCCAACATGAAAATATCTGAAAGTACAGAGTTCTGAAAGACTCATTCCGTATCTCGTTTGACAAATGATATCACGGATTTATTATGGACTAATTTTATAAAATTCTTTCTTTTGGGATTATAAAAGCACCATTTTTTCAATTTTTGATATATAAATAAACTCATCCATAAAGCGATGCAAAACCTACTGTGTATATTGTGCCAAAATAATGATGCGATGACGTCGTAAAACGAATTTCATTCAACATTTTTACCAAAAAGTCGGGTAAAAAGTTTAATACATTATTCGTGCGTATTTTACAGTGCTCGGTTTTGTTAAAACACTCCGGCTTCGCCGTCGTGCTTCATAATCATAATAAAACTTCTCACTGCAAAATATTAGTTACCGCACTGATAATGTAAATAACTACTGCACTTCTGTGTAAAATTGGGTATTTGTATCTGTTTCTAAGCAGTACCGAGAAAGTGTCAATATTCGATGTTTCCACGATGTTTACAGGGAAGCAGTGGAAAAAATGGTAGCTCGAAAAGACCGGAAATTCTCGGACCGCAAGTATATTTGTAAAAATAATAATCAAAACACAATTTATAATTCGAGAAATAAAAATAAGGACATATCGATGAGTAAACTGTAGATATTAAGAAAATGTTTTTAACTATATAAATTTTAAATCAAGCTGTTAAATGTTAGAATATCAGGAAAATTAACTAAGTCATTCCGACTGAAATTGATAAAATAAATCGCTTCATTCCCTAATTTTCTTTAAAACATTGTGCATTCATAATTTTCATTACCAATACATAGTGTCCAATTAAAGACGGGAGATTGTTTCATGGAAATGTTTAGTAAAGTGTCACAACTCATCCAAGTTCATGCATACACAACATAAGGGATGACCAATCGCGGGAGGTCCCGGAAACTAAATTTTTAGTCTAAACTTGATCGATACGATTGTACTTAACGTTTTAATTCAAATTTTTGACAACCAAATAGAAACAGGTTTAGAGTTTAAAAAGGACCAACATACTTTTTCTGAAACACATCCAACTGCTATCACATATTATGTTGTTCAGGTGTTAAAATTCTTTTCCACTTTACCCATATATTATATAGTATGTTCGGACATTAAACGTACGTTTGTGAAAACAGAATATGCCGCAAATTTTTACTAATTAAGTAAATGGTATACAACTTACTGAAATATCTGCAATTTCATTTAGTAAGAGTTATATTAGTTTTATGTTCCGCCAATTAAACGTTGAAAGTTTGTGATTTTGGAAAATATTTTCCGCTTACTTTAATAATTGTTTTGTTTAAAAAATTAAGTACCATTGCAATATATTTATTCAAGACGGTGTGATTGCAAATTGTAGTTTTTCTCGCATCTTTCAATGAAACATCTATAGATTATTCCTTAGTGGGTATTTACTCTTAACATTTGTTCTGTCAATATTCCGAATGGGCATGAGATATTGATATTACATATAAAAAAAAATACGTTTCATATTAACGACTACCGTTAATGTAATAATAATAAACAGCACAAGCATTTTTTCATTACCTGCCGAAAAGAACATTTTTTTTATTTTTATTATTGTTAATAAAAGGATTGAATTAAAATAAATTTATTGTTAACCTGTGATTAATAAAAACCATTCTCTAATTGGTGGTAGCCAAAGAAAAAATTTTTAAAGATGCAAAAAAAAAGTCATAAAATAGGCATGTTTCATTTGAAAAGAAAAAAAAAATGGCTAAGGTTCTCTAGACAAAACTTTCGTCGACCCTGATTGTTTTGTTCACCCTGGATACGTATGAATGCATTGATAAACCAGACGTATAAACTCACGACATTTCGGGCCTTTTCGATAGGATTTATTCATGTTTTCTGGACATTTCATGACCCCGAAAGTACGAAAAACGTGATCTCCCATTTCCGTCTGTGTCGTCTGTCTCGATTTTTGTTTGACATTATCTCCGAAACTATTAAACCGATTGTTGTCAAATTGTATGCGTATGTTAGGAATATCGTGTAGAGGGTAAAACAGTAGCCAGAATTTGTCTAATCATCCCCACCAACAATTTGATGACGTCCGTAATTTTTTTTTTTTAGTAAACGCAATTTACATTTTATAAAATAACATACTGTCGTGTACACATGGTTCATGAAACAGCATTATTTTTTACCGTAGCTATCAAAATTTTCGCAAAAAATCCAACTAGACAACAAGAATTTATAAAGACGGTGAACAGGACGATTCCGTGGCTGCATTGGTCACTATGATGGAATATCAAAACGGTCACACTTTCAATTACGCCTCATGGGTGTTTCTTGAGCAGGATTTGTTGAACTGTACTTTAGGGTGGAAATAACCTTTGACCAATTTTTTTTATGCCATCTTTATTTAAATACATAATTATTTTTAAAAAGCCTAAATCGTCCAGAAACAAACGTTTCCGACCTAGATCGTAGAAAATGACTAACAAATGCATGTTTAGGTCGTTATTCAAAGGAATTGCCGCACTGATTGTCACTCTCGATTCTTACTGTCATTCTGTTGTGTCAAGAAATATAATATTATTTAATTTTTAATCAATAAAACATTTACGCGACATAACAAATAATATGCATCACTCTGCCAGAAACTGGTTTTGCGAATACTCGCTTAGTTGCTGTCCTAGTAATGCAGATAACTACTACATTTGTTTCGTAAATATCCCGTAAAATTATCTAGCACTTATCAAATCAGCTGATCGTAAAACCGACAAAAATTACAAATTATAAATAACGTCATACATTGCACTGAAATGATGTGACCGCAAATTGTTGCTTTATTATAAAAAGGAGTGTCGAAAACAAATGCCTGACGTTCGTGTAATACACTTGCGTAATACGAAAATGCAGGATTACTTCGAATTGTAGATCGTGTGTGTAATCAACTGATCATATCAAAACCTAATCATAATTTATGTATTCATCCCCATCCAAAAACATGTGAATCGTATGAGACTACTGTTTAGTGAACCTTACTTTAAGTGTATAATGTAACTCGCTCTTTGTACTTGGACTTAAACAACCCCCCATCCTATTTTTAGTTTATCTATCCCAGAGATCACAGATTTCATCGAAATTTTATAAAAGTTTTTACATTCAGGGTGTGAAGATACTAATTTAAAATTTCGGTGTATTTTGAAACGATCCTAAAGTAATTAAAACGAATGATTTTGTTTGGAATATTTTACACGAAAAGTGCCGCATGATTCGATCCTCTGCTTGTGATTTAAAAAATCCACCCGATTTTTCGCTTATTTTCACAAAATTCTACAATTTATCTTTAGCGACTTTTTAAAAATTTTGGTACAGCACTATATTAATTTAATTGTTCCCTTTCAAGGAAATGAGTATTTACATCTTAAAAAAAAATTAAATAATACATAGTTATCATGTTATCAAAAATAACAAGCAAGGAATAAAATGATGCTATCAGTTGATTTTGTTGGTACACTTCCAACTTCTAAACCATAAAGATATGTGAAAGGTTAGAATTATATTGTTTAGCTACATTACATGCAATAAGGCCTGTAAATGGTAAATCTTACGTAATAAAGTTCCCTTTTACAAATTTCTTAAATCGATTATTTCCTTTTATATGTGAAAAATTACTTATATTTATTATATTTTTACAGACGGTAATCCACTACTTGGAGTTGGCTACAAAGACGACAATGAATTTTTTGGTACAACTACAACCCAGCGAATCCCTCCAGGTGGATATTCAAAGGGCTTATGGTAAATGCAAATGAGAACAAAATTCCGTTACAGATCAATCAACAATGACAAATTTTTAGTTGTTACTTATATAAAAATTACCTTCATTGTCATCTAGTGGAAACACTGATAATAAAATTGTCCATTGTCTTCTATTCCATCTCTTTTTATCACATAATGTATATTTCCTTATTCTGGCTCTCCTCTCATAACATAAATCCTCATAATCTGGCATTGCAAAAAACCGATTCACTCAAAAATCGACTTTACTATTTCACGAACTTTTTTCAACTAAACATTACGAATGACTCTCCATCTAAAATTAATTCCGCACAACTGCGAAACAATTCGGAACAATAAATTCTATTTTTATTATTTATTGTCGAAGACGGTTCGCGTTGATTAATTTGTTCGCTACAAGTCAGTTATCTACGCCGCAATCATTAATTAGAATTACAGTACATTGGTTAATATCATATTTAACTGAAATAAAAAGCGTCTTTTGGCAATGTCGCAAAACCTGATCAAATCCCTGGCGTCTGTCCAGGGTTACAGGACTATTTCAAGTTATTTTTGAACCTAACGATTTGTAAGGGATCGTTGGTCCCAATAATAATAATACAAATTTTAGTAAAAGGGTAAACAGTAGTAAAAAATATTCTATAATGAATTCGCGTAGAGCAGGCTTTCACTTCGTCGTTTTTACTTAATATACACAGCGCAGACTTCACGCGAAGGCTCAATTGTATCCATAATTTTATATATATTCAAAGATACACACTAGACTTATCACTATGTACATTGTACATTTAACCATGTGCCCACTGATAGAATTCAATTACTTGGTTTTATCTTCTGTATTATGGTAGTATGTACCAGTCCTACTCAAAATATAAAACATTCGTCAAAATAACCCTACTACAAATACGTCCTTAGATTACTCGCAGAAACATGTTAAATGACAAAAACATCAAAATACTGGAGCAGATTGTTTTACCTATTTAAGTTATATTAATGATCTTTCTGAATGAGATATGTATGCCCCTATGAGTATAGTGTTTTCACAGGTATGTATATTGTTATTAAATATTTGATGTTATCCTGCTTTCCAATAAAAAACCATTGAAAAGTAATTATATCAGATAGATCTAACATGACGTAATCTATTAACAATAGCCCTTTCCCCCACCAACACCAAAAATTAACAAAAATGTATACATATGTGGAATGCATCAAACGGAAATATCCATAATTTTCCAAACACTTTGCATGGGGATCTCACCAAAAGAAATGTACCTACTTGGGAAAGTTGTAATAAAATTATCATTTAGCAATGGTTGACGGACATTCACTTTGAATTTTTTTTCTACGTCACACTATTACAAACAGTCTACATATTTAATACTAATAAGGTTCTAGCATGTCATGGAAGGAGATGAGTATGGATGAAAAATACCGTATCTTCGATGTGAAAATGAAACGGGCCCTACAAAACCTGCAGAACGACCTTCCATTATCGAATTTCGCGCATTTCATTAGTGAGTGGACGCAGTGGTGCACAGAGATTTGTTATCCAAATCCATAATGTTATGTTGTTGTTTGCGATATATATATTTTCATTTACAAAAATAAATACCAAAAATATCGATAACACACGCCTGCGATGAAAAACCTGGTAACTCCTGTAAATACAGTACAATAAATCCAGGACAAGTATGTCAATTTGAATAGACGCAGCAGTAATATTAATAATAACAGTGCTGTATATATTCCCACATTTTCGAGAAAATGGAGTGAGTCGTTCTTGATTTAAACAATAAAATAAATTGCCTGATTCCTTAATTTTTTTGAATCACCTGTATAAATAATTCTAAAAACTATGACTGCATTGATAAACCGCAAGTGACGAGTTATAATATTTTGCATATTTCAGACAGGATTTATTCGTCAAAATTTGAGAACAATTTTTTGGGAGGGGATAAACGAATACATTTTGATTAATGATTTACCATGATTACCATAAACTTACAACGTTGTCATGATTTCAAACCTATCGGTTTTGCAGCTTCAAAATTAAATTGCAAAATATTATGCAATTTTGATTTTTTTCCAAAAATCTAGACGTTTAGGGTAAAAACTCAACGCGGATTCATAAACCACAGGTGCAGGAGTATCTTATTATGTAAAATTAATATAAAAAAAATAAATTTGACAACAGTCGGTCCAGTAGGTAGTTTTGGAGATTATCTGTCTAATAAAAATCAACACAGACAGACAGATGGACGGACAGACAGAAACGGAATACACATTTTTAGTAATCTAAGAATCATGAAACGTTGAGTTAACTTACGCTTAGGAAGTAAAAATTCCATCACGTAGTTTTTCTAAAAAATGTCAAAATCAAAAACAAAAAAAAAAAAATGTGTTAGCGTCTTGCAAAAAAAAATACAACGGTTTGAAGTGGAATCATATATTTGAAGTGGACCTGAATGTCAGATCTTTGAGCAAGTCAAAATGAAGGGATGTCAAATGGAAGCCATAATAATAAGTGCCACAAAAAGTTACGTATCCAATTTTTCTTTAAAATTGTGTATTTCTTAAATTTTTGTTTTTCGTATTTTTTTCAAATAAACCTTACGTAATAGCAAAAAATTAAATTCTTAATCGTAATTAGGAATACAATAAATATCAAATATGCAAAACAATTGTTAAAATAAAAACAAGTTTTTAACATTTAAATTTTGCAAGCCTGTGTACTTTGTGCATTACTTATAGGTACATTTTATTTTGTATTTTTTCAGTTTTAGAATGGTTTCAATTTTTGGAGATCACTTATTTCCATGATTTTGCTACGCCACTAGAATAACGCAGCCCTACATCCATCGACTCGCTCAAACTTGCACTTATTCAAAACTATCCTCCTGCCACGTATAAAAGCTTCATAATATATTCAAATATTTCATGCATGTTTACAAATTTTGTTAAACATAGATATAATTAACAATGGAAGGATTTAATTGCAACATAATTATAGTTGCACTCCTGTAGTGCTTCCGCGTAATTCTAAAAATTTTCATTTGCTTTTGATGTGGATTTACTAATCTTGTTTGTTTTCTTTGCGTCTGACAATGTTGAAGGAAGAAAATTTCCGTTAGTCACACAATATTTTCCACTCTGTTTTTCTTATATCCACGATTTACGGTGCTTATTATTAGTGTTTTTATGACAAATTCATACACAAATACAACCGCAAACTTAATGAGGTCAGATGCAGAATCTCACTTTTACAAGGTTACCAAAAATTAGTTGACGCTGAGAGAAGTAACACATCCGTAACATTACATAAATTATTATCAAAAGTTTTGGAAGATTATAGTTACAGAATTCTTTTAAACTGTTACAGAATTCTTTTAAACTGTTATTTTCTCACCCATGTCTATATTGCGATGCATTTTGAGTTGGCAGTGTAGAAACCCCAAAAGCAATGCGATGATTGGGGACGGTGTTGTCATATTAAAAGCCTACAATTTTTGAAACAGTTGATACATGAATCTTGAGTAATTCCATACGTCACAGGTGTGGCAAAATAACTCGTACGAGTCATACCCGTGACACCACAAATTATTTTTTTCTCCCTAACCAATCATATTTTACCAAGTTTTACATAAATAATATGTTCCACTCTAACCTACACTTTAACAGTTGTTTCCGCTTTTAATAAATATCTTCAGTTTGGAAAAAAAAACAAATAAATATTCCTCATTTTGCCACACAAGTTACATACCGTCTTACACACCTTCTAAAAGTTTTGGTCAAATTCGATATTTAAATATTAAAATTCCATTGTAAATGGCATTATTTCATGAATTTTCATAATTTGAAAACTGTGTTTTTTGGTTCTTTATCACGTCATATTTCAAAAACGATTTAAAATTTTGTTACAGTTTTTTAGCAGTAAAATAGGCAAATATTGAATCTAACTATGTATTACTTAATTCACTTTGCAGAAGTGTTTAAATTTCTTCCAAAAAATGTTTTCTTTGTTACCTGAAAAAAAGGTGTACTGAAATTTTCAACACGAGAGTTTTGAAATAGACGAGCAGCAAAGTTTATCTACTTGCTACTAATTATACAGGATGTCCCAGAATTCGCGCCATTCCCGTGAATGACATGTTCCCTGTCCCGAACTGTGCCGTAATTCGCAAAAAGAATTGTCCAGGCTTTAACCGTGTGAGAACTGGAAGGCGATTAAGTTGACCAATAGAGAGGCTGCTTTTATATCCGAACGTTTCTATGTTCAAAGTTACCTATGCCAAGAACAAAAAATCGGGTAATACTAAAGTTGAATGAATTTTTTCCGAATCCCCCTCCGTCAACAAAAGGAAACAGAAGTGTGGTTATAAATTTAATCATTTTGACAATTGTTTGTCATAAACTGTCACGAAGTTTATCACTGACCTGAAGAGACGCTTCTGCGCCAAAGATGACTGATTAATGTACACAGAGACGTCAAGGTTTACTTTAAGGCAAGTATCATGGGACAGAAGTTATTTCTGCTGCCATTCTAGTCAAATTGTGTTTAACTGGGCTGTACATGTCATAAGAGAAGCTGTTTCATTTCATCGTAGGCAAATAATACATTTATTACTATTCTACATAGAGTAGCTACCGAAGAGCAGGTATAGAAGTCATTTTCTTAGAGCCCCGTGAATAATCGTCGGCACCCAGACCAACATGTGTTTCACCGATTGTTACATCGAGCAAGAGAAGATGGATCTTTTCAACCTAGTCGGAAAGGCCGTGCTGGGGCTCCACGGAATGTACGTGTAGGTGCTGAAGAGCAAGTGTTAGAAAACATGGAAGCGGATCCTAGGAGAAGTGTCCTCTACGTAGCGCAAATGAGTGGATGCTCAAGATCGACCACTCATCGTATCCTTCAAGAGAGAAGACTGCATCCTTACCATTACACGAGAGTGCAGCATCTGCGACCAACCGACTACCCGCGACGAGTACATTTTACTCAATGGTTACTGCGACAAAATGAACTAAATCCTGATTTTACACGGCGCATTCTTTTCACCGACGAATGTTCATTTTCTCGAGAAGGAATGTTTAATGCACACAATTGCCATTTCTGGGCACACGAAAATCCACATCTCACTAGGGTGAGAGCATATCAGGAGCGATTTACTATTAATCTATGGGCTGGAATCATTGATACTACTGTGGTAAAAATTTTAATGCATCTGATAAAATTATCACTAAACTCCGTTCCTGTTTTTGTAGGTGGGGCCGTTTGTGTTACCTGATCGCCTTAATGGGGATGCATATGCTAATTTTCTACGACTAGAGCTTCCGGCATTGTTGGAAGACGTTCCTTTGAATATACGGCGGAATATGTGGTTTCAGCACGACGGCGCTCCTCCACATAATTCGATACTTGTACGACGAACATTGAAAAGAGTATCGTCATAGGTGGATTGGGCGTGGCAATACTAACATCTGGCCTCCTAGATCTCCAGACCTTTCTGCTTTGGACTTTTTTTTTGGAATCAAATTAAAAATTACGTATATAGAGAACCCCTAGATATGTTAGAAGAACTGAAAGAGAGACTGCACGAAGCCTACGCTACAGTTACTCCTGAGATGTTAAATAATACACAACACAACATAATTCGACGAGCTAGAACTTGCATTGAAGTTAATGGTGGTCATTTTGAGCACATTGTTTAATAACGTTACAGTACAACGATTCCAGCCCATAGATTAATAGTATTGCTCTTGATATGCTCTCACGTTAGCGAAATGTGGATTTTCGTTTGCCCAGAAGTACCAATTGTGCGCATTGAATATTCCTTTTCGGGAAAATCAACATTCGTCGGCGAAAAGAATGTGCCGTGAAAAATCAGGATTTAGTTCATTTTGTCGCAGTAACCATTTACCAACTCGTCGCACTCGTCGCGCAGTCGGCTCGTCGCAGATGCTGCACTTTCGTCAATAGTAAGGATGCAGATTTTTCTCTGTAAGGATACGATGCATGATCGATCTTGAGCATCCAATCATTTGTGCCACTTGTTCTTCACCGTCTATGCGTATAATCCGTGGAGCTCCAGCACGGCTTTCCGAATAGGCTGGAAAGATCCATCTTCTTTTGCTGGATGCAACAAACGACGAAACACATGCTGGTCAAGGAGCCGATGATTGGGGAAAAGACCTGTATATTCGCGCACAGCAGTGGCTGCATAGCGTGTACATTCTCCATAAATTAACATCATTTCCAAATATTCTTGATACTAGTATGAACATCAATAACTTAGTGGTATTGGTACTGATTTGTTTATAGTTTGTATTGTTCTTAAAAAAATTGCAACTAAACGATTTTTGTTATAATTTTTATTCGTATCTTTTCAATCTCTAGAAAGTACTCACAACTTTAAAGAAACTGTTTTAAATCATCATGTGCAACATCAATATTATTCTTGTGTAAGTCTCAGTTTTCAGTATCTCCCCCACATGATTGACACCACAGCAGATACCTATGATCTTAATACACCAGAGAAGTGGAGTCTCGTCTCTTTTTTCGTTGCTTAGATTAGGTATCAACAACAAAGCTGTTCAGTAAAAATTGATACTGTTTATTGAAAATCATAAGCACCGATTAATCAAAAGCGATATTTATATTTTAGTACACTTAATAACGTTCTTTGAATGGACATGTGGTACTCTTTTTTAGAAATAACGATAAACTTAATATCAGGCATATGATGCATTCTGAAAATGTACTAATTTTCGTTAAAAAGAACAACACATTATTCACGGGGCTCTAAGAAAATCACTTCTAATACCTGCTCTTCGGTATCTACACTATGTAGAATAGTAATAAATGTATTATTTGCCTACGATGAAATGAAACAGCTTCTCTTATAACATGTACAGCCCAGTTAAACACAATTTAACTAGAATGGCAGCAGAAATAACTTCTGTCCCATGCTACTTGCCTTAAAATAAACCTTGACGTCTCTGTGTACATTAATCAGTCATCTTTGGCGCAGAAGCATCTCTTCAGGTCAGTGATGAACTTCGTGACAGTTTATGACAAACAATTGTCAAAATGATTAAATTTATAACCACACTTCTGTTTCCTTTTGTTGACGGAGGGGGATTCGGAAAAAATACATTCAACTTTAGTATTACCCGATTTTTTGTTCTTGGCATAGGTAACTTTGAACATAGAAACGTTCTGATATAAAAGCAGCCTCTCTATTGGTCAACTTAATCGCCTTCCAGTTCTCACACGGTTAAAGCCTGGACAATTCTTTTTGCGAATTACGGCACAGTTCGGGACAGGGAACATGTCATTCACGGGAATGGCGCGAATTCTGGGACACCCTGTATAACAAAGAAGAATAATGAATAAAAATTTCGACTTCGTAATTGTAGCTTTGATTAATGTTTTACCCTCTACATGATATTCCTAAGACACATACAAAATTTGACGACAGTTGGCCCAGCAGTTTCGGAGATAATAATCTCTCTAATAATCCAGACAGACAGGTAGACGGAAACGGGAATACAGTTTTTCGTACTCTAGGACTCATGACACATCGAGAAAATATAAAAGTAGCTAGTCGGCCAATGGACTCGATTACTATGCTCCGGAAGTAAAAATTGTCAAATTACTCATAAGCATAAGAACAAGCTTTTTTTGTTTTTTAAAACACATTGAGTTCTTCTACCACTTTGATATTTTTACTTCTCAAAAGTAAGCCAAAAAAGTGTTGTAATAAGCTCCATCCGGCGAATGGGTACTTTCGTGTTTTCACAACGTTTTCGTAGGAAAAATAGATCTACCGTTTCCCTCTGTCTGTATGTCTGTTTGTGTACCTGTCATCTGTCTGTAGTCCGTCTGTCTGTCTGTGTCTGTCTGCCGTCTGTCTATCTGTCATCTGCCTGTCTATGGTAATGTCCGAAACCAAACCAATTGTTGTCACATACTAAATGTACGATTTTAGGTGGTAAAACGCTAACCAAAATTAGTCTGATCATCTCCACCAATAATGTGATAATGTAACCTCAAAATTTTACATAGTAAATGTTATTGAAATTGGATAAAATAATGTAGTTATGAATACGTCTTGACTGTTTACGCTAGACCAGATTTTTAGAAAAAATTAAAATTCTATTCAAAAGTTTTACAATTAACTTAAAAATACACAACCGAATGCTCTGAAAATTTGCCAACGTTGGGAGGTCCACAGAACCTCAACTCCGGTCCAGGTCGGGCGTTCACTTTAGCTCCGGTCTGGCAATACCTATCCGGTTCTCATCGCGCTAATTTTGTGCGGGAACACATTTAATTCATTTTGGATTAGGATGCGAAGTACTTTAAAAATTGTTTTAATAATTGTTTTTTAAACAATATTGGCATTCATGAAGTTAGAAAATTTGTTATAAATTATAATATATGGTGTTAGGGTCTTCACTTTTTGTTAGTTTTAACAGTTTTAGTTTTTTATTAAAGTTGGTAGAAAAAGAAGTACATATGTAGAAATATTTTTATGTCTAGTTGGACGATAAAGTTTCTTGGAACGTTGTACGGAATAAAAGAGGTTTTTACGAGTTTTTGGGTTTTAGTTCTAGAACTGTGCTTTTCATAATATTGCAAAATTTTAAAATTGTAATTTAAAAAGGAATAGCTAAAATTTATGTGTGTGTGTGTGCTTTTCATAATATTGCAAAATTTTAAAATTGTAATTTAAAAAGGAATAGCTAAAATTTATGCAAAGTTTACAATAGGTGCTCTTATTAGTTTGGACCGGAGTTAAGGCGAGGGATTAAGGCACTTCAGGTATCAGTCTAGCGATATATGAACTTGGACAGGAGTTGATGAATGATTCCTATCTAAAATATGCAATATTACGAGTTTATAATTATGGTTTATGAATGCATTAATACTCTCCAAAATTGCTTATACAGAATAACTAAAAAAAAAAAATGAAGAAATTCATTCTACTAATCAAATTAAGAACAGCTTACTTCATTTTTAGAATATTTGGGAATACACACAGTACTACTATTATTATTATTACACTGCACCTATCCAATTGATGTTACGTCCCTTGAGAATTACAAAGTCGTAACTGACAAATTTGAAAATTTTGAGTTAAGTCGTAAGTAGTAATAAAATTACTACGTCCTAAAGTACTGGTTAAAAACAAACATACCTAGCTGTAAATGTTTTACATGTTAAAAGACAAAAATTACAAAGTTGTATCTGCCAAAAGATTTTCTGAGGATTACAAAGTCGTAACTGTAAACTTTATTTAATTGACGCTACACAGTCAGAGTACCTTGTTTTGCAAAATTGTATTACATTTATCAAGTAAAAAAGAATAATTTAATTGATTTAGAAAAAGAAGAACAGCATAGGAAGCACACAGAAGATAAAATGTTTTCAGAACGGAAAGAAATAGTGACAGAAATGATGAAACGAAAGCGGTTCTTTGTTTTGATTTGCAGAATGTTTTGGGCTATCCGAAAGCAGAAATAAGCAATTTCTGCTATAAATCAAAGTTTAGTGTCTATAATCTAACTGCTCCTCTTTCTACAACGAAGAAAATACATTATCCATTTCAGATCGCTAGAAACGACTAACTGTAATTTTTTTGTCATTTTTGTCATCTTGTAATCACTAAAACTAACGGTTGGCGGCAGAGACTTTAAATATGTACATATTTAAAGTCTCTGGTTGGCGGCCTTCTAAGAGGTGGCGCGAAATTTTTAAAATGCCAAAAATATTTGTCACATTATTTAGGGTATAGGGGATATGAACCGATTCGTCTTACACTGTACCCTTGCCAGTATAATCCTACATGGGTGCCGTGCAAAGACTTTTGTAATAAGCACATTACATCAAAAGATATTTTGCAATTTATGGCTGAAAGCCATACTGCCGTGCAGTTGAAGCATTTGGAGAAAAAATTTTTTGCACCATGAAAAACTAGTTCACGAGGACTCGGGGAAGTTATTGGGAACCTCACCTGTGAACAATATTCCACCTGTGGTTATAAATTTGGCGGGATCAGATTCGGATTAGTATACTTTGGAAAGTATATCTAGGGTCTCTAATTCGGATGAATCAGAATTTGAGTTTGTAGACGAATTAGATTAATTTATTTACAGACATTACTGACATTTTATGGAGAATCAATCATTCGGCTTGACCCATAGAATGCTTGACCTTTTAGGCCGATTTTAAATTGTAAAAATGATGTCCATACTTACACAGCTAAAAAAATAAAGAGACTAGATTTATAATTACGAGTAGTTATTTCTAGCCATCTGAAATGGATAATACTGTGCATTGTGGGAGGAAAGTCAGATGGGACGAAGTGGAAATGAAATTGCGAGTGCGTTGCTCAAAATTTTAAATGCTGTTCAGAAAGAATCCCCAGATAAGAGAATTCATTTTATGGAGTGACAGCTGCTTTCAAGAAAATAAAAACTCGCTCATGGTATATGCAATTGGTTAATTTTTATCACAAAATTCTGGAATTGGTACAATAATTATGAAATTTGCTACTCCGGGCTATTCGCCAATTTAAGAAATAGACAATGTGCATAGCTGCATTGAAAAGGTTTTATCAAAGGTAGAATATTATTCTCCTATATTGTTGTTTGCTCTTTTAAGAAGTGTTTCCTCTAGAAGAACTTATAAACTTCTTGAAATGCGATCTGTCGATTTTTTTTTATTTAAACCGTGCTGTAAATATTTCGATTACAAAAACATTCCTTTTTTTAAAATACGGGCTTTGAAGTTTACAAGATGTTTTTACGAAGTTGGATACAAGTTGTCCCACACTTCGGATGATATTTTGCAAGTCGTAAACATCAGAAATTATAGTGAACCAAGAGTTATAAGGTTATATGGCCATCATAAATTCATCCCATTGTGTCGAAGTTAAGTTGTTTACAATAGAAAAGGTTTTAGGGTCGTAAATAACGTGTCCACTGCAGCTCGACCGGCTCTTGTGGTTTCGTTCAGGGGCGGCTTTCACTAAATATGAAAATCCACCACTCCACTATTTCTTTACTACCTGCAGCCGCTGAGGGTTCCGAAATAACCACTCGCTTTGAAAGCCGGCCCTGTTAAATATGAGCAAGAAATGTTTAGAAGATGATTTATTGCCAACCGGTAAGCTTAGTGCGAACCACACAAAGGGGGTATTTATTTGCGGTCAACTACTTTTATGATGGCCATATAACCTTATAGGTCTTGGTTCACTATATAAGGGTACCCGCCAAGCATGTAACAACGTGGCAAAAATTAAAAACCTAAGAATTCATTTAAGGCAAACGCCATTATCCAAGGAACAAATGTTTGCCATTAAATCCATGCTTAAATGGATGCCCAAAAAAGATCAAGATTTTTTTTCAAACGTAATAAATCATAATTAAACTTACTAAAAATTATAGTTTTGTTATCCTATCTATTGTATTAAATAAAGTCGTTCGTGTTCACTATTATGTTATTTACTGACAATTACAATGGCGTAACTGCCAACAAATACATTGAATTACAAAATTGAGAATGACAAAGTTGTACCTGCATACATAAATTTTTATTTTGTATAAAAGCTTTAATGTTTTAATAACATAGATAGCACCAAATCAATACTTATTTTTGGCGACTTATGAAAGCTACATTGTTGGGTAATCAAGAAAATTAATGCATAAAATTTGAGGTCTCCAACATTCAAACGTCAAATCGTGAAGCTTGTACTTACGACTTTGTAATTCTTAAGCGACGTATGTGTCCTTACAAATGTTGAAGACATCACAAAATTTTGTAATGGTAAAACTCACGCAGCACATACGCACGGCATGCTTCTTTAGCTTTGCTTTAACATTACACACATATATTTATTTTAACTTATAAGTGTACAAAATCTGATTTTATAAATTTTCGAAAAAGCTGGTTATGTCGTCTGTACTTCAAGGGCGAAGGATATTCTGTCTAAATAACATTAAACCTATTTTTTAAAAAGTGTTGCACGATGAAAACTATTGTTTTGTAAAAAACATCACATTAATTTAAATATTATTGAAGGATGTTTAACTTTTCGTTGCCTCTGAAGTACAACATTCTCCAATATCATCACTAAGTTCACAGAGTAAATATTTTAATAAACACAATATAATAAATCTATTTCTTTGAACACTTTCATTCTAGGAAGTAAAATAAGGAAATATTCGAATTTGTAATACGTATCAAGACAATTTTGAATTCAGCCCAATGATGATGCAACTTTCGAATAATCTTTTTTTTAATACAATTTCAATGATAAAAACACTGAAACAATTCGATCGTTAAATGGCAAAAATAAATCAATAAACCAAAACAATGGTAAATAAACTTGGTTGGCTACATTTAGGATTAACCAAATGTAAACTGGGTAAGTAAAATTGGTATAACATACATATTTACTACGTGCAACAATTGGTTTCCTTGGCAACTAATAAATAATAATCATCAGTTTTAAAGTTAATCAGCGATGACAACACCGGCCTTTACCCTCGGTCTTTTTACATATTGCACCTGATGCACTTTACATAAAAATACCTATGTTAAAAAAGAATATGATTCGATGGATGGTTCGTGATGATAATCTTTGGTAAGACTTTTTTAGTAAAATATTCGAAAAACAAGTAAAACTTTAAAAACAACAGCTACACATTAAATGCCAAAAGTCATTGATTAGATAGGTACCAAAACAAACGTTACAGTTTACATATAGGTATGGTGGTCGTTTCAATGAGTTTTCGTTTATTACATATTTTACACTTTTTGCATTGAAGTAACAAATTACACATTATTAATTGATAAGAGCAAATAACTTACCTGATACATGTTTAATAGATTTTGGTGTTGATGTTGATGTCATATTTAAAAACACCCTGCACTAAATAACATATGCACCTTCCTACACTTTCACATTTTCTTTATTTAATGATTTTTGAATTTTCATATAGAATTTCATTTCAACAAAGTTGAAATATTATAAGGAAAACCATGAACAAAAACCTCATAACTGTCAGAACTGATGTGGGTAGTGCCATCTGCAATGTCTTCTGTCAGAAACTGTCGTCCATCAATCTGCGCGGTCGATAACAACATTATTATTTTGCCTTTATGTTAAACAGTGTTATAGAACGTTCCGAACATTAAACAACTTATTAATTTAGAATTAACGACAAAAAGTGTACCCAAATAGTTTACTTGAATTACTGCCTCAGAGCCAAAATAATCTCCCAGTGCAAAAAAAATTGAAATATATTAAGCTTATTGCACAGCATGTATCAGAGGTAACACGTAAACGTAAGCATGAAAATGGAAAACGCACAACACATTCTCATTGTCTCTATGACAGATTTATAATCAATATGGTAGGTAATATTTTATTTAAAAACAAATTGAGATGACGTTCCCACAGATCGATGAAAAGCAATGGGAATAAGACACTCATGTTACTGCCATTTGTCCTTTTTTTTTTATAAAACAGTTTACAAATTACAGTTCTTTGTAATGAAAAAGCGTACAGCATATCTAATATTGTAAACGTTCTTGTCAATGACAATTTAGGGACACGATTTGTCAAGAAAAATCCGTCTAATACTAATATTAATTAACCAATATCATCATAATCAATTACAGTTTGCAAATATGCATCAGCATTTGACTGTCCTCAAAAATGTTTACATTACAACGCTACTGGAAGATGGTTGGTCAGTTTGAATTGTTACGGTAATTACAATTTAAACAAAAGTGTAGTTTTAAACAATAATTAATAAAGGCCGAGCTCAAAGAAGATGCTGCCCGTTTAAATTAATTAAGGCAAATCTTTTTGATTCTATAGGACAACTGCAACCTATTTAGACCACAAACTGCTGAAAGAATAATTACACTGGTCGATACAAGAAAATTTTTTTTTTGAGTCTTTATTTTAATCATTATTTTCTGATTCTCTATATTGAAAAATCAGGAAAAACTTTATTTTCTTGTTGATAACTTTGCTTTTGTAACTTTCACAGCAATAGATAAATTTTTAAGGTTTTGAGTAATAAAATAATTGCTTTAGTAAATAAGGCTAAGGCCGTTTCAATCATGTGATTTCTAATTAGTGTGCGCATGCGTACAATGCGTTTAATGTGACGTCAAATACAAAAATGTCTTCAAGAAGTTTACTTATTTACATTTATATTTATTTAACTGTATCTACATATATTTTTTTATAATATTCTGTAATTAGGGCTTGCCCTGTAGAATATTTTTTACAATAATAGCATTAATATTAATAATAATAATAATAACAATAATAAACACGATCCAGATTCATTTTGTTACATATGCGGAGAATTTATCAAAACAAGGGATACAAAATTTGCTTTGGCTACAAATGTTAGACTTTGTGTCAAGACAAAAGGTGGGTTTCTCATGTAATAACTGATCCAAATTTATAAAAAAAGTTTTTTTTAATTATTACATGCAATGAATGTGTAAAAGTAGGAAATTTTTCTAGAAATCTTAATTTCATTCTAAAAGCTACAGAAGCAAACTTTTTCGAATGAAACAATTTTTTCGTTATTTAGCAGTGTTGGAAGAATAAGAATCAGCGATGCAGAACCCAGATTCAAAATGCATGTTGACCGGTGTTATTTGAGCGAATTCAAACTTATTGGGACGAAATCAATGAAAATGATATTCGAAATTTAATCCACTCGGTGCTAAGTAGACTAGCCCAAAACACAGCTATGACCAAATACTAGTTTTAAATTATTGTATGTCACAGCGTCAACTCAGAGCACCTACGTTGTACGCACAGAACAACCATGTGCGTCTTATGATTCTGTGCGCTGGGCTTTATTACTGGGTTTACATCTGTCAATAAATCTTATTAGTAATTTTGGTGTCACTTAGGGGCACCACTGTATCAGCTGACTTATAGTGGTTCCAGTCAAATTTGTCAAATGATTGGTAACTTCATTTTGTGTTTTACCTTTGCATTTGGGGGCTGGTAGAGTATGCCAAAATGGGAGGCTACTGTTAGTAAAAAATTTTAACTGCTAAAACCACCTTTTATGCTATGTTGTTAAACTGTGCTCTACAAAAGCTTATCAAAACCAACATATAGTTCATACAGGTAAGTTTTGTGTATAATGTTTACAGATTGTCAACTTATTTCCTTCTGTTTGGCAGCTGATGGCCGCTTAAAACTTGTTTAAGAAAATGGGAAATTCTGGATTAAAACAGCATGTATTAACAGCTCAAAAAACTGGAGTTTTGAAGTTGTCACAGGGTCATCTCAATGGCTTTCCCCCTGAGTTTAAACAACTAGAAAACAATTTAAGAACTTTGGATCTATCTGACAACAAGTTTGTAGTGTTGCCAAATGAAATAAGCAGGTTTTTACAATTGAAACATCTTAATTTAAACAAAAATAAATTGGCAAAAATACCAGACTGTATTGGAGCACTCACAAAACTTGAAACGCTTAATTTTTGTCATAATAATCTGTCAAACATACCAAGAACTTTATCGAACTTGATTAATTTAAAGCAGGTTTATTTGTGTGATAATCATTTAAAAGAATTGCCACTAATGTTTTGTGGCTTAAAGCATTTGGATATCTTAGACTTATCTAAAAATGAAATTACTAATGTACCAGCAGAAGTCGCAGGTTTAAATGTTATTGAGCTAAATCTAAATCAGAATCAAATTTCGGACCTGTCCCTACACATTTCTAGCTGTCCCAGGTTAAAGACTTTACGACTAGAAGAAAATTGTTTACAGCTTACTTCAATACATTCCAAAATTTTAAGTGATTCAAAAATTTCAAATTTATCAGTGGATGGCAATTTGTTTGAGTTGAAACAGTTGACTGATATCCCAGGATATGAAGCTTACATGGAAAGATTTACAGCTGTGAAGAAAAAAATGTTTTAACAGTCGTTGAACCTGAGGACATTTGTCAGTATGTACCTTTCAAGAATTCCCTCCATAGATCCTTCAAACCTAGCATGCAAAAGTGAATCTACATTTGGAGTATCTAAAAGTATAACTAACTTCAGTTTTATTTTGTCGTTGTTATTAAACTAATGACCTTTGCATGAATAGTAACAAAAAAGTTAAAAGACAATCAGTGTGTTCTGTGTACTAGAAACCCTTATTGAAAATAGATTATATCAAAATGTATTAATATGGTAGTTTGTGTCTCTAATCTTTTTTTTTCAGCAAGATTTGAATTTTGGGGCCAAACTTATTCTATATCTCTATATGATTAAGTATGCATTGTAATTTTTGTAACCACAGAGGAAGATTAGAGACAAATAGTGATCATTACAATACTTTTTTTACAATTTTCACTTTGTTAAAGTTTGTAAATCAACACCAAGGTTGTGAGGATGAGTAAAAGTGCAAGACTATACTGCACTACACAGTACTGTTTTAGACTCACCAATTAATAAAACTGTCATTTGAAAAATGACCGGATTCTTAAAATTAAGCAATAATGTGATTTATTTTATATTCATAAGATAAATTTTAACGACTATAACTGTAATTATTTACACTTAATGTTATTAGGTTTAACTGGAAAAGCCAAATTAAAAAATATTTTACATTATTTATTTATAAATTACACATTTGAAGAGTGAAATTATCGAATGGTCTGCTACCCACCATAATTACAAATGTGGCAACTGTTCTTTATAATTTTATTATGTGTAAAGTGATAGTAGACAGCACTGGCTTCTGTGTAAAATATAATTTTACAGACGTACCAGACTATTCGCAATTTCAAATAATGTTATTGAATCATTGTTGTGAACTTTAGTTGTTGCTTTTTAATCACTGTATGTCGTGATTTTAAAAATTGTAATGAGCATGTAAATTAACTCGTTTATTTTTTGTGTGGTTACATGGTTCGTGTAACTGTATAATATCGTTCATTCTAATACCTGTTTTAAATTCGCAAAATATATTGTACAGCAGTTAAATGTTATACATATTGCAGACTTTTCTATGGGACTAAATACATTTCAAGCCTCAAGTGTACTTCTCAATTACTATTTAATATTCAACTATTCTTTGTATGATATGTTGCACATTTGCTATTTCTATTTTTTACTGTGTATTTATCAAATTTCTATCCAAATATACATGTCAGTACAATTTGATTTTTAAATTGGGACTACTGCAGGAAAATCTAAATGAATTTGGAAAATACCTATATGAGTTCAATAAATCTGTATGAAAAAATGTTTCACTAGTTTTGTTAAATGTTTTGTTATTTAGTGAATTACACAACTTTTGTAGTGTGTCAAAGAAGTGTCGTTATTAATTTTCTATTGTTTTCCATTTTAAATTATTTTTTTACATTGTTATTACATTACCACTTCAGAAATGTTAAGAGCTAGGTACTCTAAAAGTGCTTATAATAACTTTCGCGGCTTATCATTTGATAATTTAAAAGCACATAAAAGAATAGATGAAAAGCTTTTTATTCAAATGACATTTTAAATTATAGTAGTGAAATTTGTGATTAAACTTGCTTCTTTTTTAAGAAAAAGATTTCCACGATTTTATTATATGTTCATTATATTTTATAAGTTTTGCTATCGTACACTGGTATAGATATCGACCTGACTTAAGCTTAGTTTCAATAAACCATTGTTTAGTTTCTTTTTTAAGATGTTGCTATCGCACATTTTCGTACTGAAGGTGTTCAGCGGATCAAAAGGGTAACTTCGAAGTGTTTAATGACCAACATGACTTGAAATTATATGTGCTATTATGATGTATGTGAAAGTTAAAAAAAAAACACGACAGACGAAAACTAACACTATTCGTGTGTCTAAGTTTTTTGGCTTACATACTTGAAGCAGCTTGAAGTATATATTAGGAATAAATAATTTATTAAAGGATACCCAAATGCAGACCATGCAAGAACCGCAAAGTGTGTGCTACCATATGATCAAAAAAAGTCATATGGTAGACCGTGAAATTTATTTTAAAAATTATGATGTTGGCATTGCAGTTTTTTTATTGTAACTGTCAAATCGAACAAGGAACGCACACGGACTGGAACGCATTAACACCAACGCCAATATAATTTTTTTAACTCTAAATTTCAACACTTGCTATTTAGACGACTTTTTTTCTCAATCATATGATTCATATGGTAGGTATAAGTCCTAGACCTAATAAATTGTAACTATAACGTACAAGTATCTTCGCTACCTTCTAACACGATATCCGACCATACGATCTCTTTGTATGTGTAATAACATAATTTTTTAATTTTGTTGTAGTGATTTTTTACCTTTTTACATAAAGAATAAATAAAAAAATCAAGCATAACGCAGATCAAGCAGTGCATTTTATACTGCTTTTTTTATACACTTGTTTATTTTAACCCGGTAGATTATCTAGGTATATTGTGTAACGTAGGTACATGGTGTGGCGCAGGATGTCAAAATTACTTATTCTCGACCACATCCCAACAACTCTTGTCCATTTGTACATTTCCAAACATTTTCATTACGACTGGCGACAGGTTATGTTGAATTTGAAATGAAAGGTTGTCTTTCTTTTTCTAACACGGCCCATATTCACGTAAGCTGGAATGAGAACACATATTTCGTGAACGGGAAGTAACTTTTCCATGATGCACATTGTTTATGGCTGTCTTGTAGTGGCGTGTTGCGCAAAAACCGATTTCTCAAAAACTCTCTGAATTTTGTCAGTTTTTTCGCCTGTACAATACTTTGTGAATTAAAACACCAACTTGTGTAACCGGTAAGCAGAAATTTACTGTTTTTCCTGGGCACTTTCACGAATTAAAATAGCATGGCTTACCCACCCATACCCAGATGGTTTGTTTTTGTTTACCTCTCGTTATCGGCCTTCTAGAACACTTTGAAAATTTGGAATGAGTGTCCTTTGCGATTTTATTTTTAAAAACGTGGATTTATCATCTTGATATGTGAAAGTCTTTGTTTTGAGTAACTTGTAAATAACTATCATTAGTATTGTTTGTTTATGTGTAGCAAGCACTCTGTTGCCTCTTCCAAATCTAATCAGATGCAATAACACATTCCACGAGGTTCAACATGTTTGTAATTATTACAAACTTACGCATTGTATATTTTATCATTGTTCCATTTTGATATATTTTTTATGCATTGCGAGATAATAATACCACTCGGTATTAAATGATACATACATTAAGTTGTCTACAAATCCCGGTTATCGATATAAATAAACCTCCATCTTTTGTTAAAATAAAAGAGTAGATATGCAACACATAAAACATGTTTGACCTTGTGAGTCCGATTAAAAGACGTTGACGATTTTAGTCGTGGCGAGTAAAAGTACTGTATTTTTTTAAAGATATATATGTATGTTGATCATTGAAATAATGCTTATAACATAATAACGTGGCATTTGTTAGTTTAAATATTTTAATGTTACGATATTTCATTGTAGGACTAATTTTTATAAATTCGCATATAGGACGCTTGGTAGTTTCATATTTTAAAATGTTTATTCGGATGATTATTGTGTAAACAATCAGAAAACGATAACAGAAAGTTCCGTTTACTTATGTTTACAAGCTTCGAGGTAAATATGTTTAGTATAAATTTATGAGTGAAGTGCTTTGTTTAAAGATGTTTTTCCTTTTTAAACACACTTTTATTAAATTGAAGAAATTTTACAAGTTTACAAGAATTCATCTCCTCTCCTTTTGCTAAAAACCACCGTAACTGGACGAACGAAATCTAGTATAAATAGTGTGCAGCTAAAATGCCACATTATAGGTATTTTGATTGTCTTTGAGTTCTGAGTATGGTTAGTATCTAGATTTTAACTTCATGAGGTGACCATAGTTTACGTGTCGCAGTGTCAAAATATTAATACCTCATTAAGATGTCCATCAAATATCTATATATTATAAATATTCTTCATTCATGTTTTTGCATAATTAATTAGATATTTTCAGATTCTTAAAAAATTTTGAGGGCATTTAGGCACCACAAGTCGAAGATTTAATTAACTCAAAAATTTGTTCTATTGTCTACACTAACTTGCTTGAGTTAGCTATTTTTCCTGTAGTTCATAAAGAGTATTGGCGATCCAAAAGAAATTTGTAATTGAAAGAACGTGTTGCCATAAAATAATTTAACTGTAAATAAATTATTAAAGTATATCAAAATCCGTTAAACACATCTGCAAGGATAGTTCAACAAACAGACATGAAATCTATATTTTCGTATCCTGCAAGCTATGAAACACGTGTAGTTTTTATCCTTTGTAAAAAAAAAAACGCTTTCACACTACTTTCGTTAGTTTTCATAGGGAAAATAAAAAAAAAATAACGAGTCGACAGGATTTTAAATACTCATTTGCCATTTTTACTGAGTGAATATTGTATCAAATGTCATGTTTTGAGACTAATTGATTTTACATATAAGTTTTTTCACAATGTGGCGTTGTTGGTACGCCACATAATGTTATATTTATAACTGTTAAATTCAAAACAACATTCAAGAGTGTGCCAGATTTTTTGCTAAATGTTGGCAAAACTCACCCCTAACCACGGGTTTACGTACAAATGAATACCCACTTAATTTTATTCTACCCTATAGAATTTTATTGACAAAAACGAGATGTACAATAGTACAATGGTAGGAATATTTATGGCTCACACCAGTTCACCCGAATTTGTCGGAGAACATTTAGCAGGTAGTACCTATAAAATAATGCTCAATTTCGTTCGTGAGTAACGAACGAAAATGAGCATTATGTCCGGACCTGGATTATTCTACTTTCTGCCATCTGGAGATTGCCGGCACGCGACAACTTTAAGTTGTAAATATCTCTTGCTATTGTATTACTGTCCGTCTCGTTATTACCAATAAAATTAGGGTTGCAATAGAGATAACTGGTCCTAACGCTTATAATCAGCAGACTTAGGCACAGCCGAAGTGATGGGGAATCAATCAGATAAATATTAAAAATGACGACTCGACGTCAGGTAATAAATTTGGCTGGCCAACTGTAAAGTCTCAACCTCAGTGCGTTTGATGCAATTTAGGATTTATCTCATCAAGATCATCACGAAAATTGTGATGTTGAACAGTCATTTTTAATTTTTAAAGCATTTTAACATCTAGAAGAACTCGTATAACTGAGGAAAACCTAGAAAAAGTAGTAATTGTTATTAAGAATTTCCGTAGTTGTATGCCACGATCGGGCGGCAATGATGAGCCTCACTTCCGCGTTGTCGCAGTCTGATAATAATCAGTGCGAATATCTGTGTAAAGTTTGTCTAGAATTATAAGAATTTTATGGACTCCCAAAGTTAATTCGTTTTACAGCCCTGTTGTCAATTTCATTGTACAGCTGAAGAGCGGGGCGAACTCAGGTACAGAAAACATCGGCTTTCCCCTGAAAAGTATTGACGCCTGGGCCGTGGCCTGGGCTGTAAAACGAATTAACGTTGGGAGTCCATAAAATTCTTATAATTCTGGACAAACTTTAACGCATGTAACATTTTCAGTTGATGCCGAGTCAATAAACTTGGTATGAGCCTGTCAAAGGAAACTCTGTTGTGCAAAGTTTGTGAACGATTTTAATTTGAATCATTTTTGTAGCATGACTTTCTGCAATGGCTCTTGAAGAATTTTTTTCGATGTTGTTTTTTTAATCAAGCATATCAAGTCCGGATTCACCCAGAACAGACCAATGTACATTTTAAAGCTTGTAGAGATCTGTATCTTATCTTACTGAACTGTATAATTTAAAATGGGAATTTTAGCAAAACTTTTTCACGTGCAGTTTGATTTGCACATGTTGCTTCCCAAAAAATTGCCGGTTTCAGTTATTTATTATTATTATTTTAAAACATTGCCTTTTTCGACTTTGGTACTATCATTATTCTTAAGCATGCTTGTGTGTAGTGCCACTGTTTAACATAACTTGTTTCTAACCATGGCCATGGAGGTAGGGTGACAGGAGGGAGCATGTCCCATTTAACGAATGTTAAAGACATTGCTGGTAAAAGAGCTCCACGCAAGAGCCATTTATGACGCATCGGGGCAGTCAGTTGTCCACAGAGGATCAGAGGCACTGTGGTTATGAATAAGTTCACAGATAGCGAATATTAAAAGAATTTGACTCTTACCCATTCATTACCCTTACCACGGGGTATATACAGTGCATTTTTTTAAGTGGCCATAGGGATTCCCATGTTAAATTGTATACCTCATGTTAAGTTATGTTTGAGTAAAGATTCAGAGTTGAAACTTTTATTGTATGCAATTTCATCTTTTGTCGATTTTGTTAACAGTTATGCTTTAAATTAAAGGCTATTTCTTAAAAAAACAAATTTTGTCGGTAATATTGTAGGCAGCCATGTAAAAAGAGACATTTACTAGACCTTTCTAAAATTTGATTACTGGTTCCATTACTGATTTTTGCTGACCGAAATTCGTCAACAAGCCACAGTACACAAAGAAAGAAAAAGTAGAAGTGGTCATTGGATACATTAAAGGCTTATCGACAAGAGAAATTGCGGAAAATTTTGCTGCAGCAGATTCCCAATCGTCCCATACTCGGCAAGGCCACAATTCAAAAATTTTATGACAAATTTATAAACACAGGTTACCTCGATGTTGTACTTCAAAAACGCAATTTCAGTGAAATTATCTTTACACTTATGTTTGAATTCCATCATTTTGTTTCATTTCTAAAAACTACAAAATAAAGGTGTTTGATGATTAAATTAAAATTGTGCTGTCAAAAATGACAAGTCAAAATGATAAGTCAAAATCTTCTATGATGTCTACCCCATGTCCGAATCCTTTCATTTTACTGTACCATGGCCGACTAGTATAAAGATTATGGCCTGTCCAAGAGGTACGATACGTGTTGCCATCTATTAATAATTGCACTTAATAATTTAGCAAAATTTTAATTTGACTTGACATTATGGGACTTCAAAACGTGTAATGGTGGTTTGTTTGGGTATGAATGCCTTTGTGCCTTTCAAAAGGTGTTAATAATTCTTTTGTCGATTTTGAATTATTAATAGATGGCAGCACGTATGGTACCTTTGGCATTCCTTTGGACAGGCCATAATCTTTATACTAGTCGGCCATGACTGTACATAAAGAAACCACTGTTGTAGATCTTTAGGTTTCTGAAAACAATTAAAATGGCGTATTTTACACTAGATTATGGCTATTGTATAACTTAACTCAGTTCACAGTTCCATTATGGCAACAATGGACAGTAATAATCCTTGCGGTTCGGGTCCATAAAGCTTACAATAGCCAGTTTGACGTATAAGGGTGGTTTGCTTAAGCCGCTTAAGTCATAAAAGTTTTACAAGGTGTATGTCAAATGAGGTTACTTTATTATTTGTAAATTATATACTCAAATTAATTGACTTAAAAGTGAAGTAGATTCAAAGATGCCGTTTAATAATCTATTTGGTCATTGTTTCAGTAAACATTAATATCACATTCTATCAACTAAGGTGTCCTGTAGTTGGGTATGGATTTTTTGCTGCTTTTTTAATTCCACTGATTGCTTGTTTGTCCAACGGCAATTTGAGGACGTTTCTTCTCGATCGCATTTTTCTTTATTCTTTCAGTTTTTTCATGCAAAAATATTTCGTAAATGTTACAATATTCTATAATTTAGTAGTTTCTTCAGCGTAATTTTCATTGCTCCCTCATTACTGTAACTGTATGTTTTTGTGTTCCAGGCAGAAAAATACACAGCTTTTCATCGTGGTCAAAAGCCTATTCCCGGACAGTATTTTCGTTTATTTGGGGCGGTATGGCTTTAGAACAAGGCCACGTAAATGTTGTTTTTGACAACGACATCGACATCGACAAAGTGGTAGATGAAGAGTTGTCGTCCAAAGAAGCAACTGCTGGCGGTGACAGTTCAAGTTCCAAACAGCGAAAAGCGAAAAGGGTGCATAGACAATTAAGCAAGGATAGCGCTGTGACTTCCGGTTTTATCCATGGTCCCAGGTCGTGGAAGAACAGTCGCCGTTCTAGAAACGGCTATGGTCGAGGTCTTCCGAAAAAAGGTGGGGCAGGAGGCAAAGGAGTATGGGGTGCGCCGGGTTCTGAACTCCTGGAAACTTATGAAGACATAAATGATCCCAATTTTGATAATGAAAATTTAAGTAATGGAGACATCGAGTTGAAAGCTATAGGTAAATAGCGAATTATTACCTAAAGTGTTTATTAGTAATGTGGTTGCTTATTTTCGCATTTTTCGAAGTGGTGATCTTAAAGACTACTATATTTATTACTATTTTTCCTGTTTTATCAAACTCGAAGTTTAGATATTTGTGTTTTTGAGTTTCTGATTCCTTTGTACAAGAATTATACACCGTTTGCGATACTACGGTCAGTAACTATAGTTTTTGTATTTTTCATTTCTTAAAAAAAGGTTGTCATTTAATACCTGAGATGATGTTATTGAGATTAATAGCATTCTGAAAATGAAGTCCTGGGACAACTTCTTTCGCTTATTTGCCGACATTCGTTCCTTGCACATGCGGTGTGTACAACGTGCATTTTATGGAGTGTACTGTCAGATACTTTGGTAAATAAATACATAAATATATCTTATTAAAGTAATAAATGCTTGATTTGGCGTCTGGGATGTGTTATCTCTCATGCTGTGTAGGTACGTATGTTACAGTAGAATTGGTTTTGACCATTTGCGTTTTGTCGTGATTTTCGCGAATTGTTTTAATTGTCCGAGGATAAGAAACCCAAGTGGTGTTCTAGATACAGATTTTTGGACAACTGTAACGATGCGGAGATATTAATCGACTTCTTAATAAAAATCTTTTAATTGCATGAGGGTTTAAAACGCTTCATATACTACACTAAAGCGAAATGTATGCGCGTACTTGGGGTTTCACCAGATTTAAGTAAACTTTTAGTAAATTAAATAAGTGATCATGATTGTAAAATCTTGATATACTCGATGTAACTGACTGGGACTGGAAGAATTGAGTGATGGAATTAAGACTTATTTTGCTGGTCGTGTTTATTATTTCCTGGAACACATAAATGTCTAAATGCCGAGTTTTATATGCGTGGGAAGTGCGTGCCCCGTTATGTTTTCACTTACGAGCCGTTACTGTAAACGCCAATTTTTTGTTATGATTAAACATCCATAAATGTGTAATTGTTATGTCGCCTTATTTTTTTTATAGTTCCTGACGTTTCGTACGAAGAGATAAAAAAGAAGGTGGATCCTATCATTTTGGAATATTTCGAAAATGGAGACACTAATGAAGCCGCTCTGGCTATTTTGGACGCTGTTCCTAAACATTATAGAGACATGCTAGTAGAACAAGTGATTGAAGTTGCAATGGATCACAAGCCATCCCACCGAGAAATGACTTCGGTGCTTATTTCTGACTTATTTGGTCATGTTATTTCCGAGAATGACATAACCAAAGCATTTCAAAGTCTTCTCGCCAATTTAAATGACTTAATACTTGATATTCCGGATGCCCCAACTGTTCTTGGGAACTTTATCGCTAGAGCAATAGCAGATGATTGTATTCCTCCCAAATTTCTTACTACAACCAAAGAGAAAAGTGACAGTGAAGTGTTCCAGGAAGCTTTGGGACGAGCAGATACTCTGCTTTCCATGAAACATGGCCTAGTTAGGTAACTAGAGGTACATTTGCAAAGATTTCTACTACATAGATTTTTTTTTGTTTAGATTGCACAACGTGTGGGGTGTTGGTGGAGCTTTACGACCTGTCAAGGCCCTAACTCGTCAGATGAACTTAACTTTGCAGGAATTTATTTCTTCGCGCGATATTGAAGAAGCAAGTAGATGTCTAAGGAACTTAGAAGTGCCTCATTTTCATCATGAATTGGTGTATGAGGCTATAGTAATGGCTCTAGAAGCGAATAGTCCTTCAGTAGAAGAGGCTCTGTGTAGTTTGCTTAAAGCGTTCGACGCTGCCGTTTTAGTTACTCCAGAGCAAATGGGAAGAGGGTTTATTCGAGTGTTTGATGATCTGCCAGACATTCATATGGATGTGCCCTTGGCGTATATCATTCTGGACAGATTCGTTGATCGTTGCCATAAGGAAGGATTTTTGACTGAGAAAGTTATTAATAAAATACCTACTAGAGGACGCAAACGTTTTGTCTCCGAAGGAGATCAAGAATTCATAAAAAATCATAAGTCATCATAATTTGTTTAATTCATCCTATTTCGTTTATGCTAGAACTGTGCCGTAGATTTGATTTACATGTATTGCATTTACGTTTACTGAAATTTCGTTAGAAACAGCACGGCGTGCATATTCATTCTATCATGTTACTTCTTTTTTTTGTATATGTTCTATGAAATAAAGATTATTCAGAGTTGCTAAGTTTCGTTTTTTTTTGTGTGTACTGTACTATATATGTAGTGGAGAATTGCGTAACATCTGGTATATTGTTACGATGAATCGGCGATTAAAATTGGTGTCTGTCAACTCAACAGTTCATTTCGTACTAAATCGAATTTACACAACTAACTGCACAGGGATTATGTACAAAATAATTCCGGCGCAACTTGACTGGACTCTGTCTTCGCTCAACTGAATAATCGTTCCCGAAGGTGGCCTCTATTTAAAGCCGTACTTCCCTTCCAGAAGTTCCGCAGTCCAGCCCATCGCGACTTCCGCTTCCAGGCTTTTCTCCGGCCGTCGTCACCGGCAATGAGTCATCATTACCGTGCCTACTAGAACCCATAGGCGTCGTATCGGGGTGGCGTATGGGTTTATTTTGTAACAATATTTAGAGTTTGTTCATTTGAAGGGAAGAACATCTTTGCAGTGGCATGCATCCAAACCCAGAATATAAACCCGCCGGTTTTATCACAAAGAAAAGCATCAAGACCTTGAAAAAATAGTTCTTAATCATCAGCAAGAACTTTAGGAGGTATATATCGCACTGTGAGAGCAATACTCACGTAACTCAAAACCAGCATGTTTTGAGTAATGATGAGTTAAACTTCCCAAGTGTTTATATATTATTTGTGTGTTAAATACCAAAGGCTTCGAAATACATTAGAGTCGTATTGTCAATCTATTATTAATCGTGTTTTTATTCCTTTAGAGTGGAACCTTCTACTCGTTATAGAAAACAAGAAATTTTGACTTACGTGACTATTGCACTGGTACACGATATTAAATATTTTGGCTTGCGTGTCAATAAATTTAAGACAAGAGCAAACTAGCAACACATTGTAATGAAAAAAATATAACAAAACACAAAACGATCACAGTATTAATTCATTCAACATCTACTATGGCTAAATTGTTATAAAATGTGTTATAATTTTATTTAATTCGTTTTTTTTATACATAATTGATTCCGTCCATCGAATTTTTTTACGTATTGCTAAAGGACCTTCATAAATATTGTTTAATAATTTTCATTTGAGTCTGATGCCGCCGTTGTCGTGATGTTCGGGAATTGATTGAATATTATTTCCTGATATACTTCCTTTCTATACGAAGTTACAAAATTCCATCGAAATTTTTGACAAATTTTAAATTTTTTATTTCGCTCTAATTAACTTTCCTACCTTTCCTATTCAAAGAAAAATTGATTTTCATGTTTTCGGTCAATTCTTAACTAAATCAGAAGACATTGTGCAATTATTGTGTTCAATTTGTACCTAAACTAGTAGGAGTATCATCTGATAATCTTATCAACATCGACTGAAATCTCATAGCTTCATAGCTTACTTGCATTTCACTTATTTTTGAGATACGGCAGTCTTGCATTAAGTGCACACGTAATGTTCGGAAATGCAATACAAACATTTTGATGAATTTGAGCATTACGCAACTATTAAAAACCGTTTATACTTACATATACTAAAACTACATTAACTTTTTTATGCATTAATGATAAATGTAAGAATTCGGCAAATTTTGACTTGAGTATTGCTCTCACAGTGCGATATAATGCTGCAAGAAAAAAATGAATGTATTGTTACGAAATAAACCCATATGCCGCCCCGGTACGATGCCTGTGGGTCTTTTAGTATGTTTGTGTTTCTTCTATTATGTAGTATGACTCATCGCCCGGTCGAAGCGGCGTTCGCTAAAGAAAGGCCTGGAAGTGGAAGTCGCGATGGATTCGAGAAAGACCTCGATTGCGAAACATCGAGAAGGGAATATGGGTTTAAATGGATCTCACCTTCGGGAATGAGGGAATTCAGTCGAGCGGAGTCCAACGAGTGTCGAAAAACCCAGTGAAGTTGCGCCGGAATTATTTTGTACATAATTGCTGTTATAGTTAGTCGTGTAAATTCGAGTTATTAAGAAATGAATTGTTGAGTTTAACCCACGACGATTTTATTCACCGATCAACGTAACAATATTTAAATTACATAAATGATAAAATTAATCAGGGCTACAAGATTCGAGATGTTCGTAGTATGTACCGCTTCTACAAAATTATTTTTAGAAACACCAAGGAGGACACCACCACTATCAACCCTGCTTTCGATATTGAATTTTCTGTCACACTTGAGAACATTACTTATTGTTAGAAGGAAATAGCTCAGCACTATATATAGAATCATTTAACCACGATTCATCAATGACAATATCAAAAGACAATTCGCAGGCACCGACATAAAAATAGTGAGTTTTAGAGCGTAATCCGCGACAGTTCGGATGATAAATTCAAAGATTATTGTGAAAGAAACTGTTGGCACATTTAGTTTTACGACGTAAACGTAACGATTTTGGGAATGCCGTTTTTATATCATATTCTAAGATTGACTTCACCTTTAGCTTGACGATTAACTAATTCAGTATTGACGTGTTTGAATCCAGATGACATAGCAATAAATCGTATTGAGGAAGGGTTTTGAGTTTGAAAGAATTACGTAATACAGTATATACATCTGTGATACACATAATCAACTGAAGATAGTGTAACTTTAATATGTCGACATTTTGCTCCACTTGTAGTATCTAACTATTCCAGTTTGATAATACGTGGTTGGTCATTAACATCAAGAGCCGATAAGATTTTAGGTATTGCATCCGTATCCGGTTTAAGTTGATCTTTGGTTAACTTTATGTTGTCTTCTTTGCAACCATATATAATTATGTTACTTTTGCGTTTTTCACGCTCTGCAACTTCTTTCATATTCGAGCAACGAAGCCGCAGAATCAAGTGGCGGATGAGTGAGAAGAGATGATTTTAGCATTTTTATTTTATTTTGCAGATCAATAATTACACGTCTTAAGCTATTAATATCAGAACTAACTTGAATACATTGTTTACACGTCCAAGTAAGACCAAATTTGTGGTGAATCTGCCTGGCTTCGGTACTTGAAATACCTACACACTCAAGTTTAAAAGGTTTATCACATACAGAGCAGTTTACAGATTTGTGGGCATACATGACAGGAAAAATATAAATGAAGTCATAACTTTCACGCTAGCGGTGCCGATTATGATGTAAAGAGTTAGGCGACAACGGCAAGGATCAGCTACAGGGTACAAATGTGATTAGGATGCGCCTTTTAAAATACAGTATGCCCTCAAATAATCACTTAAATATTTTTAAAATACAGTATTACAGTACACACTTAACGTAGGAACGTAATCGAATATAGATAGTTAGTCAACGAAGTATCAACAAAAATACGTGAGATAAACTAGCAAGCAAATTACATTGACTTACCAGGCAAATTACTAAACTATTTTCAAGTTTTAAACAAATCAAACTATATTGCACTGTGGTACAAAATTTAGGTAAGTAATCTCACTAAAACAGCAAATATTTATAAAAGAAACTTCATGTTGTACAAGTGCAGAGTTCACACACAAAACACAAAAAAAAATAATAAAAATAAGGAAAAGTCAAAGATTAATGTTGGACGGTTCTTTGAGTAGTGTACACTACAATTATTTTCAACTATAGGTACAGTGTCTTGTTTTAAAGGTGTAACATACAGGCGTTTCTAATTTGCAGACCACAGTTTATCTTGCAGACTGGGGGTTAAAAATGCTCCAATCAAGTTGAAACTCAACATTAGCTTATTTCTCAATACGAAGATTATTGACACAAAATTTCAACCCGATCGGAGAAACCGTTAAAAACTACCCCCAAAATAACCTTGCAGACTGGCACTTAAAAATACTCTAATCAAGTTAAATTTTGACATTCGCTAGTTTTTCAATACGAGGATTATTGATGCAAAATTTCACCCCATTCCAAGAAACCCTCAAAAATTACCCCCAAAACAACCTTGCAGACTGGGGGTTAAAAATGCTCCAATCAAGTTAAAACTCGATATTTGCTTATTTCTCAATACGAAGATTGTTGATACAAAATTTCAAGCCGTTCGGAGAAACCCTTAACAACCGCCCTTAAAACAGATTTGCAGACTGGGGGTTAAAAATGCTCCAATCAAGTTAAAACTCGATAGTTGCTTATTTCTCAATACGAAGATTGTTAATACAAAATTTCAACCCGTTCGGAGAACCCGTTAAAAACTACCCCTAAAACTACCTTGTAGACTAGGGCTTAAAAATACTCTAATCAATTCAAAATTTGACATTCGCTAGTTTTTCAATACGAGGATTATTGATGCAAAATTTCACCCCATTCGGAGAAACCCTCAAAAATCATCCCCAAAACAACCTTGCAGACTGGGGGTAAAAAATGCTTCAATCAAATCAAAACTCGATATTTGCTTATTTCTCAATACGAAGATTGTTAATACAAAATTTCAACTTGTTCGGAGAAACCGTTAAAAACTACCCCTAAAACAACCTTGCAGACTAGGGCTTAAAAATACTCTAATCAAGTCAAAATTTGACATTAATTTATTTTTTTATTATTTTATTGTTAATTATTAATTAATTTATTTATATTTAAATTTAAAAAATATATAAATTACGAATACATATAGGAGTATTTGTTACAGATACGTGAATTGTGATAATTTTAGTTCATGTTTATCGCTGTTAGTTAATAATAATCAGTTGCTACTATGTAAGAATGCATAAGTTGGGCATTTTTTCGTCCAATCTCTCATTTTTTGTGCGTTTTTACACGTCATTTTTGCTGTTAACTTGGTTCATTCAGTACATACTATATGCTGGTTTTGAGTTCTTTGAGATACAATTAAACTTTCATCATCAGTCAAAAAATACAAAGTTAGTGGTGTCCAGAAGAGAAAATTTAAAATTCAGAGGAAACAAAATCTTAAAGATATTTTAAAGAAAATTAGAGACATTTTTAATTTCCGAGAAACCTAACGTAAAAAAAAAACGTTTCGAGAAAAAGTTTAAATTAATATAGGAAGCTCAAAGTTAATTTTATTTGAATTTCAGAAAGAACCCAGAAATA